ATTACGCTTATTTCATCCCTTTGTATGTTTGAAATATGAATAGGCTATGTATTTATGTATTATTGTATGCTTGATTGAATAAATTTGATAAATTTTGTTGTTTCTGTCTGCATGAATCGACCTACACAGGGTTACGGTCGACTCACAAAAGTAAGATTTTTCATGCCTGAGAAGCGGGTATGCTCAGGTCGACCCTACGGTTGACGCATACCCTAATAACTTCTAACGTGTAATTTTTCACACAGTACGCGCCGACGCATGACCCTTCTGGTCGACGCATCGCGCGAAATTTCTGAAAAATTGTTGCTGAACTGTTCATTTTCCACCATCTTCAATGCATTTAAATCATTTTGTCTATTCAAAGTCATCATCATTAAACATTTGCATTGAGCATTTCAACCTACTCAAGGCTATCTATCTTCCTCTGCTCTTCCCAAAACTACATTCAAAACCTAGCCTCTACATAAAAGGGTAAAATCACTATCTTCTTTCCATCTCCAAGAGTAACTTTCTACATCAAATTTTTTATCTCCACACAAAAAATCACCGTGTCTACCAAAAGGATCACCGAAAAGAGATCCACCAGAGCATCATCATCTCAAGCCGGTCCATCAAGCGGAAATTTACCGGTAACTGCTGTATCTCTATTACCTCCTGAGTTTTCGGAAATTTATGAAAAGAATTTTAGCAAACAGTCTGTGGTTAAGTAACATGCTTACTACCAAAAGGTTGTTGAACGTATGCATATTCCGGAAGTTATTGATATTCTATATGCTCAAGGTTTCAACAACTTTTTGGAGTGTGATATTAAGTATAATGAAGATCTAGTGAGGATCTTCTACACAGGTATTAAAGGAAAATTTCAAGAGTTTGAGTTTAACACAAAATTGGGCAATACCAAGGTCCGTGTGAATGACCTAGTGTGGAAAAGTTTATTTGACATGTCACTAGTATCCGTTGAGCCCATTATTAAGGCCACAGATGCTCGTCCTATAATGGGCTACGAGTTCAAAGAAGCTTTGAACTCCATGCTGAAGAAACCATATGCTGATGATATTGTAGCAAGAGACCTCTTTCTAAAGACGGTCACAACGGGAAAAATTGAAGTCGGTGGATAGAATACTACAATGGATTATGGCGCATATTTTGCGGCCAAAGAAAGGCGACTACTCTCGAGTTGATCAAGCTGAGGTACACTTGATCTATATTTTGAAGAAAAATATCAAGATCAGTTGGCCTCACTACATCGCCAGTAGGATTTATTCGCTCAAGGATTTCGGTAGAGGGACCACTCTATCATACAGATCCTTTATCCAGTCAATTCTCAACAACGCCAACATTACTGTTCAAGGCATCCCTTACAAATCACTGACCTTAGATCAAGAGTTTTGTCAAAAGACTCTTACCATGATGGGCTATATATGGGATCAAACAGAAAGCCATTAGCGATTCATTGTCAAGGCAACTACCTCCCGGTTGGAAGAATCAGATGAAAGTGATGACCAGATCGAGGAAGCAGCAGAAGAAGAAGAACAAGTAGGTGGACATCCTATGGAGACTGATGATCAATATGATAGTGGATGGCTAAACCAATCACCTCACTTGGATCATGAGGATGACCAAGGGTGGGGTGCCTGGAAAAATACGGGATAAACATCGTTAGGTGCCAACTACATGCCACAACAGAATTGGGATCTTCAAGACACTCCTGACTGGAGCTATGTGCCTCAACCATCCCCGCATCTGCAACAACATATCTATGAACTCCTCGACATGATGAGGATAATGCAGCTTGAGCAACGTTCGTTCATGACTGCCCAGGATGAGCGGTTCTCTCAATTGTAGAGCCAATTTCAAGCTCACACGGAAAACTTTAATGCTTTTTCATCAGGTGTAATGAGAAGGATAGATGGGATTGTTGAAACAACAACGGGTCAACATAGGGCTCTTACCAGCAGCTTCAACATACTCAATAGAGCATCTTGGAGTACATAGAAAGAGTTGATGCACAATTGCCTCCGAAGTATCCCTCTCGAGGACGTGACCATCATTTTAGGGGGAGGAGACCCTGAAGATATCTTGCATTTTACATTTTTGCATCTTATGTCATCACATGCTCATTAATAGTCTTTGTTGAATGGTTCATGTACTTATTTGTGTTTGAAAACATGTTTATTGTTCATGACTGAAATAGGAATTTTACTGTTGTTTTATTATGCGTTGCTATATTTATCCAATTTATATGATTTTATTAACTACATTATATGTGAATGTGTGTTAATGTATAACCTGTTGTAAATGGCTGGAAATTGCTTATCTCTCTTCTGTTATACCATTCATTAACAATTTGCTTCTTTCTTTTTGATGTTGTCAAAGGGGAAGAAACATATCAAGCAGAAACATCATATGAGAATACTTATTATTCATGCAGAGTGTGTATAGACGAAGGCATCAAGTAAGGGGGAGGATGATATAATACATCGTACGTCAAGTTTCTATCGTTTTGTCATCATAAAAAATGAGGAGTATGTGAGGGCAATCTTCATAGGTAGTTACACTTGTTTCAATGATGTCAAAGCTTAGATTGATAAAAAATGTACTTTGGACAGTATCATCGTGTCACAATTGTATGTCTTGTCCCTCATGAGTCAAACATTTGTCAAAAACATTATTGATGCATATAGAAATGGCTACATCTGTGTTTCAAGTAGGGTTTGTCAAGCTAGTCAAGCTTACCATGTAATAGAGTTCATCAAAAGTGTCTTTATACATTAAAATAATCATTTTTGCATATTTTAGGGCTTTGAGTCGACTCAAAGCTAGCTCCGATCGACTCATACAGATAGTCTTTTTAATGGAGTACTCTCAGGAGAGCTCGCATCGACCCTCTGGTTGACTCATACTGAGTCCATTTTTATTTCCCTAAATTTGCATGCTTTGCGTCGACGCATGACCTGCTCCGGTCGATGCAAGGTTCTGTTTTTTGCACAATCAGGAAAACGGGTAAGCTCAGGTCGACCCTCCTTTCTGCATAGGTCGACCGCTCGCTGAAATTTAGTCAAAATTCTATTATGTTTGTTAATCAGTTATATCTGGTATATAAAGTGAGTTTTTCTCTTCCTTTTACACAACTGAGAAAAACAAGAAAAGTGAAAATAACATACTAATTTGTTCTCATCATCTTCATCCTCTTCATAGCATTTTCACAACAACTACACATAATCATTTTTGTTGTGCATTCTGTATGTTCGAGGTGATAACGTCCAAAATTAGGAATGGTGTAATTTGTTTTGGGTTGAGTAATCAATAGGTTTTTCTTGAATAAAACCGTTAGGGTTTTGTCCTTCAAGAATCTTAGATTGGGGGGGGGGGGGGGGGGGTTGCACGAATCAGTCCATCACAGATTCAGCCGAGCGAAGGTAATCGAAGAACAGGTGGTTCTGTTGGTTTAGTAGCGGTAACCGGAGGATTGTGAGTGGAAGATTCGGGTTTGACACGTGGGTGACTGAAATCAGCTGGGCAAGACTTAAAGACCGTGGGGTTGTTCAAAGGGCATGTCGTAGTCGGAGGTTTACTCACCACGTTCGAAGGACTTGATTCAACTTGAATCAAGAGGCAAGAAGAAATAGGCTCTACATCAACAAATTGTGTTAGATTGTTTGATCTCTATTTGCTTCTTGTGTAAACATTGACCAACAGGTTATATATATCTATATACAGGTCTCAATTCTATTGGTAGAATTGAGGGCAGACGTACCCCGAGCGAGGACGACCGGGAACTGTCTCAATAAATCGTTGTCTCTTTCTTTACGTTTATATTGTTTAAATTCTGAGTTTTAAGTGCAAACAATTGTGTTGATCAAATTCTGATTTGAGTAGTGTTGGATTATTTTTAAGTTTGTTACAATCCTTGATTGTAATAGAACACTTGAGCACTCTACTCTCATAATAGAATTCACTTGTAGTGCCTTGCACTCCAAGTGTTTGAACAATTGTGTGAACTAAAAACCATTGTGTTGTCTTTTCAAATTGTCCATATTTTAAAAGCATTGGAACTAGTCACACCTTATAGTGAACAAAATCTTATTGAAGTGTGATCAAACTGGTGATTCTCAAATCTCGTTTTATCAAATTTCATAGGTTTTACATATATCCAGTTTTTTGGTAAAGGTTCGTTTTAGACGAATATTGTTCCTCGGCCGCTTCCGTCTTAAACATTTTTAAAAATCAATTTTTGATATCACCGTCTCTATTTTAAACAAGCTATCTATTCAACCCCTTCTAGATCTGCGCCATTGTCTAACAGATAATATATTAATGATTAAACACAAATTTATTTTATCATTTCTATATGATTGTAGACCTCAATAAAATTTTTATAAAAAATGGAACCAATCAAAACTCCATTGTTTTGATTTGATTTGATTCAGTTTTATTTTTAAGAGCCAATCGAAACACATACTTTTTCTCTTGCGATTCAAATATCTTTTAACATTAAAACCACGCAAACCGCAGCACAAACACCCATAACAAAAATCTTCTTCTTCTCTCTCCATTTCTCTTTGATAACATTGAAATTATTTTAATCTTTCACCATCCTATTCCCAAGTAGAGTAACGAGACTACACTATGACATCAACATGAATGAGAGTCCTTGCAATTACACAATAAAGCTTTTGTGGCCGTCTGATTCAAGATTGATATTTTTTAATTATATAAAAAGATGTTATTTTTTTTGGACATGTGATTAAAATCCAACTGATATAAACAGCGTGTGATTGCGTGAATGCGACAATTTTTTAATTTTTTTAATTTTTTTTACATCAAAACAAATAACATTAAGTCAGACATGTCAGACATAAATTAATCAAATTTTATTAATACTCCTATTATCCTAAGCCTCATACTGCGCATACATTCACTCTTCATATTCACTTCACATTTGTTTTTCTAATAATTTCCACAACATTATCTCATATCTTTCTTTCATTGCTGCTTCCATGTCGACTGAGAATCAAACTCAAACCCATCCTTTGCAGGTTCATTCTCTTCCCTTCCACATCTCTCTATTTTGTGTTAATAGTTGTAACTCTGTATTGTTTACTATACATTTTGTTCATGTTTATTTTCCGTTAACTGTGTGTTGTGTTTCTACCTTATTTGAATCTCAATTAAACATCCTATGTTTATTTACGCTCTATTTGCTTATTACGTTAAGGTCTATTTGATGATGCTAGCTTCATTGTTTACCTTGTTGAATCTGATATCATTTGGCAAAATAAGTGCAGAAAAAGAACTTCATTGTTCATAGTGTATGTTTGGTTCTCTGTTGACAAAAGTGATTTTTTAGTCAAAAGTGAGTTGAATGTTTATTGTTTTATCCTATAGCGGATCCAGTGTTCATTTTGATATTGATTTTGACGTAGGTTCTGGATTTTGGTTGTGACTTGAGATCTAACCTTGTTGCCGGAGAGGTGGTTTACTCGATGTTTTTTGTCATTTGTTTGTTAGGTTGCAAAGCGGTTAGAGAAGTTCAAAGCAACAATTTTCACCCAAATCAGTGTGCTTGCCATTAAACATGGAGCTGTTAACCTAGGTCAGGGTTTTCCCAACTTTGATGGTCCAGAATTTGTAAAGGAAGCAGCAATTCAAGCAATCAGGGATGGGAAAAATCAGTATGCACCGGGTCATGGATTTCCAGACCTCAACATTGCCATTGCTGAGAGGTTCAAGGAAGATACTGGACTAGTAGTCGACCCTAAAAATGAAGTTACTGTTACAGCGGGTTGCACAGAAGCAATTGCTGCAACTGTATTAGGATTAATAAATCCTGGTGACGAGGTTATTATATTTGCTCCGTTTTATGATTCTTATGAAGCCACTTTATCCATGGCTGGCGCGAATATAAAAAGCATAACACTGCGCCCTCCAGATTTCGCTGTCCCGATTGATGAGTTGAAGTCGACCATCTCAAAGAACACTCGTGCCATTATTATAAATACCCCTCACAATCCTACAGGTAAGATGTTCACTAGAGAGGAGCTCTGTACCATTGCATCTCTTTGCATTGAGAATGATGTCTTGGTTTTCGCCGATGAAGTTTATCATAAGTTGACATTTGATATGGAACACATTTCGATTGCTACTTTGCCTGAAATGTTTGAGCGGACAGTGACAATGAATTCGTTAGCCAAGACATTCTCCTTGACAGGATGGAAGGTTGGATGGGCCATAGCACCGGAACACTTATCATGGGGAATGCGACAAGCTCACACGTACCTCAATTTCACAATTGCAAGTCCTTTGCAGTGTGGTGCTATTGCAGCTCTTCGAGCGCCAGATTCTTACTATGCAGATCTAAAGAGTGATTATATAGCAAAGAAAACTATTTTGGTGGAAGGTTTGAAGAGTGTTGGATTCAAGGTTTTCCCATCAAGTGGAACCTTTTTTGTGCTTGTAGATCACACGCCTTTTGGATTTGAAAATGATGTTGCATTTTGTGAATATCTAATTAAGGAGATTGGGGTGGCGGCAATACCTTGCAGTGTGTTTTACTTGAATCAAGAAGAAGGGAAGAATTTAGTCAGATTCACTTTCTGCAAGGACGAGGAAACTCTTAAGGCCGCCATTGCGAGGATGAAGGAGAGGCTTAGAAAATAATTTTTATGCATGGCCGGGTCACGCGACACATATAAATAAAGACATTTTCCTTTCAAGTATCCGAAAAGCTTTGATGGGTATGTGCTGTTGTTTTGTTATGCAGGAACATCCATCAGACTCCTGGTGTACAAACTCAGGATATCATCACTAGTTTCAACTTGTTTCTATAGTTCTAGCATTATATAGCCTATGCAGCATAGGCTCTCCTTTCTTGTCGCTTTGTTGTATTTGCACTTATAAATCAATGTTTTACCTACCTAGTATTACAGGATTTAAATTTGATCTTTTTTCAAGTTACTGATAATGTAAAACAGAAAACTTTGGATATTAAGAAGCAAGCTCTGGTAATGTCAAACACAAAGATTGGAGATGAACAATTCTCTCTTTTTCATCATTTTGAAAATGGTAACGTAGAACCTTGGTTTAAATCATGACAGAATCATCGTAGTCTCCTCTCCACCACCACTGTCACCATCTTAGCCTTCACAATCATCTTCCAAAGCAGATATTGTCATGTTTTAGTTGAAGATCTCAGAGAAGCTTGATGAAACAAACTTCTCTGTTTGGTGTCAACAAACCGAACCAGTATCTAATGCTAATTATCTCCAAGATTTTCTTCTTTACGGTGAAATTCCAAATCGAAGATCCTCATTTTCAAGCTTGGACACAGTAAGATTAATGGCTATTGTCATGGCTACAATCAACAATTTCCAATTCATTGATGACTCATATTCTTGGATGTGTTCATGCATCTAACTTTGGTCTCATATTCATGATCATTTCCAGAAATTAACTCGTACTCCTACATGTCAATTACACTCATAATTGTGTGCTACTACTACCTTAGATGATCGTAGCATCACTGAATATTTATAGCGAATCAAACTTTTTGTTTTTTCTCTAGCCTTAGTTGGAGATCCTATTCCACCTTAACAACACATTGACGTCATTCTCGAAAGTCTTCCACAAGACTATGGATCTGTCATCTCTGTCACAGAGAGAAAATTTAAGATGATTCAACTTGAAGAGTTTAAGCTCTACTAATTGCGCATTGCGCATGATATTCGTCTACTTAAACATGCTAATCCTGCCCAGTAGTAATGTCCTGCCTCCACTTCAAAACTGTCAAGGGTCGAACTGTCGGTTGATTTCCAACATTTTCGAGAGGTAATTCCAATGCTACAACAGAATTGTCAGAGCAGGTTTCAGCTGGGATACATCGAAAACCGGATGTATATCGCTAGAAGTTTCCAATTGAACCTCTTAGACAACTTATGAATCCTCCTGCCCACCACATAGTTTTGCCTATAAGGTCTTAGCTTCACAAAGAAGATCACATGTTCATGTTTGGATCAAGTTTTGTGTCTTACCATGACAGTTTATATATACTACATGTATGTATCATTTTACCTCACAATGATAATTTATAGACAAAGTTGATAGTTTATTCTTGATTCAAATTTGGACCGATCTGTTACTAACACCATATTCTTAAAACACATGCTGAAAGATAACATTTTTAATAAACAAAGAAACAAACATGTAAATCTTATTATCCCACAAACACATGACCAAACATGGACACTTATTTTAAATCTTAATGCATATTAAAACATAATAATAAAGTAATGATAATCGAACATCCAACAATGACAAAATAAAACACACAAACAAACACAAAACACAAAATTAACTTCTCTCATTGGAAAAATGGATTTGGCCAAAATCCATTTTGTTGAGGAATATTTCCCAAAGGAGGCGTGCCATCATTTCCACCACCACCACCACCATCCATGAAGTTCATAATCCAATGTTGCTTTTGCATAACATTAACATCCATATTCATATTCACCAACCCTTGAGCATTATGACTCCCTTCTCCCATCTCTTCAACCTTAGCCACTCCATTAGCCACCATTGGTAATGGTGGTGCCATCATTTGGCCTTGACCTTGACCTTCAGAATTCTTGGACAACATTTCAACTCTTCTGTTAATCTCTTTCAAATATTGATCAATCAACCATGTCATATCATTTAAATCAGCCATGCTTATATTATTCGTTACATTACCTGCACTAAGATATTGAAACATGAGTTGTGTCATTTCTTTTTCTCTGTTATCTTTCCTTTGTTTTGTCAGCTGATCTTTCGCCTTTTCAATTCTCTGTCTTAGAAAACTCTCTTGATTTACCATCTTTTTGCTTTGTTCCAATTCAGGCATTCTTCTAAACTTGTTGAGCACCCTATGGACTCCAGGTTGAGATGGCCAAACCTCTGGCTGAGGATCGTAGGGGCTATAGATTATAGCACAAGCATCGATTCCGCAAAGGGTGCTAAGTTCGCTAACCTTTTTCATTAGACCCTTCTTTCTTTTCTTGAATGTTGCTTTCCTCGAAGAATCATTGGTTATGAACGCGAGTTTCACTTTCTTTCTAGTCATGGTGTGTGGTGATGAAAATGAATGAAATGAGTAAACTCATTATATAGAGAATTTGAGATATATCCAAATTTATTGTATAGTGAATCATTGTAATGAATTAGAGATATGCGGTTAAATGTCAAATATGTTTGTTATGATTTGGAGATATTAGCTTAAATGTTTTTCTATGGTTGGAAAACCAATATATTATATGCCAGTAAGATATTCGAACTGTATGTGAAACCGTGGCATTCTTGATTTCTTATCCACTTAAGAAAAATTAAAATAATGAAATTAATTAAAAGATACTTACCCCAAACCAAAAACAAAACTTGTGAAAAATATTGATTTCATTCACACGGTTGTAGAAAGTTTTTAACGCAACTGGTTTAAAACTGGATCATTTTTGTCTTCTTCGCCATAGCATAAAAGACATATCAGAAAAGTAGATTGTTGTTGTTGCTACAAATGTTGTCGAGAGGCTTACGCATTCTAGCCAAAGAAGTCATATCGGAAGATATGCTTGTTGTTGATGCTACAATTGTCTTTAACAATGAACTTCTGGATTTTGCAGTAAAAAAGAAGAAAAGTTTTGTTTCTTAAGATAGATTTCGCTAAAGCATACGACTGTGTAGGTTGGTGTTTTTTGGAACAGATTTTGATAGCAATGAATTTTGGTGACTTATGGCTAAGATGGATAAGAGGAATGATTTTTAGCCCTTACTTATCTGTGTTGGTCAACGGGAGCACAACCAAAAATTTCAAGTTTAATAAGGGGCTCAGACAAGGAGACCCGTTGTCTCCGTTTCTCTTTGCTTTAGTGGCTGAATGCTTAGCACTCTTAGTTAGGAGAGCTGTTAGGAGAGCTGTTGATAGAAATATCCTTAAAGGTTTTGTGATTGATAGAGATATATTCGTTAAAATTCTTCAGTTTGCGGACGACACATTATTAGTATGTGATAACTCGTGATCAAATTTGTGGGGGTATCAAATCAATACTAAGAGGATTTGAGTTAATCTCTGGATTGAAGGTGAATTTTTGAATAAATAACTTATATGGAGTAGGGCTGATGCATCGTATTTGAAGGCAGCTTCACAATTTTTGGCTTGTAATATTAGGAAGTTTCCATTCAAGTTCCTAGGGCTATCTATATGAGCTAAACATAAGAGACTCTCATTCTGAAAATCTGTCATCAATTGTATCAAGGTACAACTGTCCTCTTGAAAAGGAAAGCTGCTCTCAATAGGTGGAAGGGTGGCATTAATCAGTTCGGTGCTCACCAATATGTCGGTTCATCATCTTTCGTTCTATAAAGCACTCTCAAAGGTCTTGAAAGAAATTAAAGTCATCCAAAGAAATTTCCTGTGGGCAGGCACGATTGAGAAAACATCCATGTCATGGGTTAATTTGTCTTTAATATGCAAGCCAAAGGATGAGGGTGGCCTTGGCATTAAAGACGTCGCAATTTTCAACAAAGCTTTGTTGTCCAAATGGCTTTGGAGATTCTCTCAAAAAACTGATGCAATCTGGATTGGTATTCTTGAGGCAAAGTATGATTTTTTGAAGTAAAGAATTTTGACAAAACACTGCCATTATGTGAGAGCGGCTTTACTTGATGAATATTGGCCCTTTTAGTCACGCCTTAATGTTGTTTGACCAAATATGATCTCATGTGCTTCATCATGTGAGTGTGATTTTACTTGAATATTGGACCCTTTTTATTAGTGATGGGACTCAAGACCTTGTTTGGTAAGGCTGAGTAGATTTATGAAGCTTATAATGATTCAATTAGGCATGACGACAAAGACATGGTGAGGACAATGTTTACATTTCTTGTCCCAAATTCAACTACCTGATAAATACTAGTTTTGCTCTAATCTCCGACAAGGATGGTTAATAATAACATAAACTTGTACCAAACGGATTCTAGTATTCTCACCTCGAATCTAGATCTTGTCTCGAACCCTCATAAACAATAACATACACTACTTATAATAAATTAAAAGGTTCTTGAAAATTTCCAAACCACATTTCAAATAATAAAAATTACACCAAAATATCAATGCATTAACGATTAACTGTACGATTAATATTGTAAATTATCAAAATGAAAAAAATAAAATACAAATTGATATTTCAAACTACCATCAAAACAACTTTGTAACGTAACTAAAAATATTCTACATTTCAAACTACCATCAAAACAACTACTTAACCAAAAATATTATACTTTATTATTCATTGAAATTGCTAACACAAATAGTTAAGTCGATCAACATTAACTTTGATATAAATGAGGCAAGTTTGAGAACAAGTTTGGATGTACACTAATGTCTCTATTACCATCTTGTATCATCTTTTAAAATTCAAGAAAACTCAAACACAAACCTCAACTTACTTAAAGAGGATTTTTATTGTCAAACTCAAGATAAGTTTGGACAAATACCATGGATACGAGTTCTATTTTCGCCACGGTTGAAAGTTGAATACTCTCCCTTTAAAAATCTATTAGATACAAAATGGATTTTCTCCTCCAAATTAGAGGTCTTCATGGACCGATTTGAATCAATTTCAGGAGAATTTGATAACTAAACCGACAAAAAATATATGAATTGATTTAGATTGAATTTAATTTTTTTAACAAAGTCCAAACCAAAACAATCTGATAAACAACATATTGGTTTGAGTTGGATTGATAAGATATATTAGAAATAAATATGCAAAAACATTTTTAAAAAATACCTAATTTACATTAACTAATTATTTCAAATAATATAAAATTCTTAATTTTTTTCTCCATATTGATTCTGAATATCACAAATGACGTTTTATTTTAATTTTTTTTAAAGTTGAATACCTTATTCTAATTTTCATGATAATTATGATATATATTATACTAATTAATTATAATTGATTCGGTAGAAGGACTCACAAGTAAAATTTTAAAAATCTATTACTCAAATCAATTAACATCGAATTTTATTAATTTGCACTTTTGTTCGAAACAAAAAAATATCCAAAGCAAATATCATCGTTTAGTTTAAATTCCAATTTGATTCAAATTTTTTGAACTATAATAAATTTAATTAGAATTTCCTAAAAACATATTGTAAAACCAAATTGGCTGTATTCAATTCTTTCGGATAAACTTTCCTCAAGCACCACTAAATAAGATATAAGAAAATGAGTGACATTATTAAATTGAAAATGTATTTTTAGATAAAAAGTAAATTACATTTTTATGTTCAATACTCTCCTTCCACACCATAAACGGCACTGTCAAGACAAAACATAAATCTGAAAGGAATTAAATTCCAATCACTAATAATATATTATGCAGCTCTATAACAACCCTTGCTGCACACACTCTCTCTTCAGATTCATACCCTCCAAATTGTTACGCTTTTCTAATCATTTCAACACCCACTCTTTCTCCAAACCTCTCATTTCCGCCGCTATGTCCACCGTTTCCACGGAGACTCAGCCTTTGCAGGTTTTCCCTATTCTCTTATCCATTCCAGATCCTCTTTTTATTTCTTTTACATATTAAAATATTTTTTATATAATATATTTGATCGATTTTCTGTAACGGTTTATTTTCAATTAGTCTCGTTTTTGGGGTTTCGTTCTTCTTATCGATGAGATTTTTCACTGCAGTGATTTTTTTTAGCTTTCATTAGTTTGTGTAATTCACTTATTTGCCTTCAAATTTTTCATATTAACTTCTGAATTACTTAGGGTTTCGATCCCAAAACATAGGTTGGCTTTATGCTTTAAGCGCTTAATGAAACTGTTTATCAGAATAGAGTCTATGTTTATTTGATGATGCAAGCTTGTTTAGCTTTTAAAATAAGGTCTAAGTTCATTTGTAATGACCTAGAATCAAATCTTGCTTAGAAGTAGTGGGTAATTTATGAACGGAAGAACATTGGTCTTGTTAAGATGTGTAGCATAGTGGTTAATTAGGTACTTAGAGTAGTTCAGAGTTGTTACAGAAGTTAGTTGGTTGGTTAGTTAAGATAAGGTTGTTATAGGACTATTTTTTTAAATAGGAGAATAGAATACAGTGTAGAATGGATCATTATTGAATATTGTAATCATTTGTGAATAAAGTAGCGACTATATTGTGAACGGGAAATCCTTGGAGGAGAGATTTCTCTCCTATTTTCTTAATAAAAGTGTTGTTTCCTTGGAATCCGATTCTTGGGTTCCTAACAGATCTAGTGTTTAACTGTTATTACTGACCATAGTAAGTGCAGAAAATGAAGATGGAAGAAAAAGAACTTCATTGCTTCTAGTTGAGCTGTGTTTTTGTGTTAATATTTGCTGTTTGCTGTCATTTTGTTTGTTAGGTTGCAAAGCGGTTGGAGAAGTTCAAAACGACAATTTTCACCCAAATGAGTATGCTTGCCATCAAACATGGAGCCATAAACCTTGGTCAGGGTTTTCCCAATTTCGATGGTCCGGATTTTGTAAAGGAAGCAGCAATTCAGGCAATCAGAGATGGGAATAATCAGTATGCAAGGGGTTATGGAGTTCCAGACCTCAACAGTGCCATTGCTGAGAGGTTCAAGAAAGATACTGGACTAGTGGCGGACCCTGAAAAGGAAATTACTGTTACGTCTGGGTGCACAGAAGCAATTGCTGCGACTATTTTAGGATTGATAAATTCCGGTGATGAGGTTATTGTGTTTGCTCCTTTTTATGATTCTTATGAAGCCACTTTATCCATGGCTGGTGCAAAAGTAAAAGGCATTACTTTGCGCCCTCCAGATTTTGCTCTCCCGATTGAAGAGTTGAAGTCCACCATCTCAAAGAATACTCGTGCCATTCTTTTAAATACCCCTCACAATCCTACCGGAAAGATGTTCACTCGAGAGGAGCTCAATACCATTGCATCTCTTTGCATTGAGAATGATGTTTTGGTGTTCAGTGATGAAGTTTATGATAAGTTGGCATTTGATTTGGAACACATTTCTATTGCTTCTTTGCCCGGAATGTTTGAGCGGACGGTGACAATGAACTCTTTAGGGAAGACATTCTCCTTGACTGGATGGAAAATCGGTTGGGCCATAGCACCTCCTCACTTAACATGGGGAGTGCGACAGGCACATGCTTACCTCACTTTTGCAACCTCAAATCCAATGCAGCGGGCTGCTGCAGTAGCTCTAAGAGCACCGGATTCTTATTACACTGAACTGAAGAGGGATTATATGGAAAAGAGAGCTATTTTGGTTGAAGGGTTGAAGGCTGTTGGCTTCGAGGTATTCCCGTCAAATGGAACATACTTTGTGGTTGTAGATCACACCCCTTTTGGACATGAAAACGATGTTGCATTTTGCGAGTATCTTGTTAAGGAGGTGGGAGTGGTGGCAATTCCTACAAGTGTGTTTTACTTGAATCCAGAAGAGGGAAAGAATCTAGTCCGGTTTACTTTCTGTAAGGATGAAGGAACTCTTAGGGCTGCTGTAGAGAAGATGAAGGAGAAGCTTAGAAAATGATCTCTATTCTATGATCACGTCAATGTCATGTGTTGTAGGTAAATTTGAATATATTGACTTTCCTGAAATCCAGATGTAGGTAGGATTGTAATAACTTGCTCATGATTAGCTCAGCCGTCTCAGTCGTTAGCAACAACTTATCCGCCAAGATTGTGATTTTCCTCCTGAAACTTAATGTTATGACGGCTATGTTCTTTTCAATGAATAATAGTTTGAAGGGGTATGTTTTGTATGCAATTATCATAAAACACCCAGGACAATGTGTCATTTAGCATCCAGTTTGTGGCAATAAAGATCATTTTGATGGTAAGGATTGTGTTTGCCTTAAAATGGCAAATTGATTTGACACGATGCTAATATTTGTAGCTTATACTGTCAACCAAATTGATTCTACTCTTTTGCCGAACAATTATTTTATGCATTATGTTTGTCTATTATGTTTTTGTTTATATTTAAACTATGCTTATGTTGTTTTTCTTTAGGAAGTATGTTACTTTTTCTTATTCTCAATTATTTGATGTTATATGTCTTTTTAAATTTTATGTTAAAGGTTCTTATTATCTATGCAGAATTGAATTGTATAAAATTTAAATGACTATTTAAAATAATATATAATATGTGTTATGAATAAATGACTATTTAGAATAATATATAATATGTGTTATGAATAATCATGAGTTAATCCTTTGTCTCGTAACATTCTCACCCTAGTAAATGTTAATCAGTTCCCTTAATTGTGTATTAGAACAAAGATCTACTTTATACTGTTAAGTAATACTTGAGAACAAGACAATAAAAAAAACTATATTCTTTGTTCTTTTGACTATTTCCCTTTGCTCTAATCTTTTCTTCTTTCTTCCTATTTCACGAAGCTTTTAAGTATATATATTTTTTGTTTGAATCTCATAATAAAGATTGCATGAATAACATGTATTTCCTAAGGATTGCATAAATTATGTTAAAATATTCATGAATGATTTTATAAAGATTTTTATTTGGTTTTGATATAAAAGTTTATAATATGCTTATAAAATGATTGTCTTCCAGATTAATGATATGGATAATTTTAGCGTATCCTAGAAGAATAGCTATATTTTTTTTATCAATATTTATATTATTGTATTTTTTCTCTCTAGCTTTTGGCAGTGTTAAAAACTTCTTAAATTTGTTAGAGTGTTTGTTAGAGTATCATTTGTGGCTTGTTTGGGAGTACAAACATATTTAATTTAAATACATCTTAATTAAAAATGACTAGTACATAAAAATTTTAGAAATTTGGCTTGGATTTTAGTTAACTTTTTATCATATTTTTCAAATTAAATAATAATTTTTTTTCTAATATATAGGTCTTTGTTGTTTATTTTATATTGAATTTTTTTATCATATTTTATTAATTTAACATTTAATCTAACTTTTTTAATTTTAAATTTATGATAAAATTAAGTATGTCAAATCTTACAAAATTTAATTTTGAGATCCATGACATTTTGAGAAAGAATTAGGGAATTTCTTATCTCATTATATGGGATTGAAAAATACTATCAGAAAAACTCAAAATGTCTCTCAAATTTTAGAGATACATCTTCGAACATACTTTGAAATCTTAGCTGATTCGAAAATACATCTTCGTAATATTTTAAAGGATATACACCATTCATCAACTATAAAAGGCATTTGACATGCATGTTGTTCCAGAGATGCATCTTTGCTTATTTTATGGAGATATTTTTGTAATTTATCAAAACAATTTATGTTTATTCAGATGAATATTTATAATTATGTATCATGTTAAGTAACGAGATTTAAATGACACAATCAATATGCAAAAAATATCATATATAAATTCAGATGGTCCAAAAATGACATATATAAATAAAATCAAAATACACAATAAAATAACATGAAGTGAAAATAAAATAAAATACAATCTATTTAAACGCAAAATGTCACAATATACTATTAAAGAAGAAAATACATCATCTAATCAACAAAAAAAAACAAAGGACATGGTATTAATTCATTTTCATCTTCAAGAGGACCTTAGAAATGAACATCTTACTATAACTATCCAGGTGTTATGTGGAACAATTTAAAAGAAAGATATGATCATTAAAAAACAGTGATTCTACCAAAAGCTCATATTGATTAGATGCATTTGTGTTTGCAAAATTTTTAAAGTGTAAGTGATTATATTTCTACAATGTTTAGAATAACTTCTAAGTTGACATTATGTGGAGAAAAAAATATCTAATGAAGATATGTTAGAAAAAATATTTTTCACTTTTCATGCATCCAACGTGCTCCTGCACTAGCAATATCAAGAAATTTTTTTTACTAAATATTCAAACTTGATATCATGTCTTCTTATGGCCAAACAAAATAACGAGCTCTTGATGAAAAATCACGAGACTCATCTCACTGGTACCGCTTCATTTTCAAAAGTGAATGTAGCAAGACACATTTGTTATGGGAAAAATCATGGTTGTGGTCATAATTATGATTGTGGTATTAGTAAGAATACATCTTTTCACTAGAAGTAGAATTTTTTTGAAAAGAATGGTCAGAGTAGCAAAACTAATAAAAATATCGGCTATTGTTGTGGAAGAAAAGGCCATTTGAATCATATTTGTCGTACATCAAAACACCTTGTTGATTTTTACAAAAAATTACTGAAAAATAAAGATATAAGGATTGAGACACATTTTTCTAATGAAGATGATGATCCAAATTATGGGAATATGGATATTACTCGCTTAGATATTGGTGATTTCTTTATTGATCCTGATGAAAAGTTAATCACCTTATTTGAGACGGAAGTGTCAAAAAATAGATTTTGTCGATATTTTTGAAGTTATTTATTATAATAAGTTTTATGTCTTGTTTTAAATTTTGTTTCTTCTAATAATAATAAAGTGACCTTAATATTTGTAGCTTATATGACTTCTTAAATAACTTTATATTTAAAATGTGTTTATAACTTATTGTTACAATTTTTTTTCTTAGAATGAATATTGACACTAACACAAATAGTAAAGATATTTATCTTGCAGATAGTGCAATTATTCACACAATTTTGAAGGATAATAGATATTTCTCTTTTTTAGTTAGACGAAAAATTGATGTCAGTACTCTACCTCACTGGGTGTTCCAATTTATTTACCGTTATTTTTGGTAAATCAAATCACAAGTTTTCTTTCACTTATAGGATTAAACTCGAAAAAATCTCAGGACATATTGTGCAAAATATTTGAGAAAATATGTTTGTGCTTTGAGTGTTGATGTTTGAATGTCGAAAGTTTGGATACAAGCTATAACTGAAATAATGCATAATTGCTTTAAAAATAAAAAATAAACAAAGAACATAATAGATCATTACGTAAATGCTTCAAATTTAAAGATTAAGAAAAAATGATGCAGATTCATACATCTTCTAACAAACTGTTTTCTCTCTGTGACTTGAATACTTAAGTTACATAGAGAATGCTTAATGAATTTATGTGACCCTTGTTTACATGACTAAACTCGTCTTATATATTATTACAATGTTATCCTTTGATAACAATTATCTTCGTAGAACTCGTCATGTACTCCCTTACATGGACTCCAACCTTCTAATGTGCTTCCACGTGTCTTTGACATTTGAACTGTTTTGAACTGCTCTTGCTCTTTCAAGTCGTCTTTTAAATCTTCCAACTTCTTATGTCAAAAATGTCTTCTATCGAACCTTGGAGCATAACATCAAAATGTTTAATTAATTATACTTAGCCTGTGAATTTACCTCACTCTTCTATCAAATATGCCAAATCACAATAATTCTTTTCGAGATTCTGAACATGTTTTGAAGAGAGAGTGATCTCAATCTTATGGATATGTTCTTAAGATTCTTCTAAACCAGACTTGGCACGTTTCTATGTTATCTAAACCTCGAACTCAAAGATAGACTAAGTCCTAACACATCTGATAAGCGAGTCAAACTCATCCCTTCAGTCGAAGTTATAAAAAGTTTTGAAACAACAACTATGTTATTTTATACTTAGCAATCTCATAGAAGTATTAAACTAAAATTCTCAAACTAACAGGAATATAAAAAAAAAATCTGGTATGCATTTTTACCGACATTTTCAGAAAACCTGGTGTTGGTAAAATGCACCCCTATTGCATCCTCTATAATAGCAATGACATTGTTGACAATGTAAGACCTAAACCACATACCAATGCTCCCAGATGGCAGAAGAGGGACAGATCTAGGAATTCCCTGAAAATACCTAAACTGAATCAGTCATCTCTCAAGTAAATATCTAATCATTGAACTCTCCCTTCACAGATAACTCAAAAAAATGGTCATGTCATCGAACTCTCGATGCATTTTATGGTCTGCATAGATAACCATATGATATAGTCTATAGCCATAACATCGATCCTTCGCCTATAATCTTGAAGACTGCCTGAATGAGAATGTCTGGATCTCCATATGGTGGCATGTGACACTCCATCATTGATAAAACCGTGATCACAACTATCACAAATGGACAAGAAATGGTCGCATATCCAACACTGCACAAGAAATACAAATTACATATACGAAATGTCTTTTTATAAATAAGAACTAAATAAATAAAACATAATAAATACTAATACATGAAAAAGACTCATATAACCGACAAGTTGTTTCATCCCAAAGACAATCGCCTCTTCAAGGGCAATATATAATATCGTCAAAGCATCATAACCCCATGCCCAGTCGAAATGCACAAAGTTAGAAAACATGCATATGTATCTAATATCGATGTATACATGAGACTTATCCTCATATGTAACACGTATACCATATTGGTCTCCTCATGCATATAGTGTTCCACCATATTCATATATGTTTCTCGCAGCCAATATAGACAGAAGTGAGCACCCCTATTAGCTCTGAACTCATCCAAGACCAACCCCAATGTAACCCCTAGGTATGTCTCAGCCTCTATACACATAATCTTCCGATTAATGAGAGG